GAAACATCATGCTTTGGGGCTGTTTTTCTGCAACGGGACCAGGACGACTGATCCGTGTAAAGGAAAGAATGAATGGGGCCATGTATCGTGAGATTTTGAGTGAAAACCTCCTTCCATCAGCAAGGGCATTGAAGATGAAACGTGGCTGGGTCTTTCAGCATGACAATGATCCCAAACACACCGCCCGGGCAACGAAGGAGTGGCTTCGTAAGAAGCATTTCAAGGTCCTGGAGTGGCCTAGCCAGCCTCCAGATCTCAACCCCATAGAAAATCTTTGGAGGGAGTTGAAAGTCTGTGTTGCCCAGCGACAGCCCCAAAACATCACTGCTCTAGAGGAGATCTGCATGGAGGAATGGGCCAAAATACCAGCAACAGTGTGTGAAAACCTTGTGAAGACTTACAGAAAACGTTTGACCTGTGTCATTGCCAACAAAGGGTATATAACAAAGTATTGAGAAACTTTTGTTATTGACCAAATACTTATTTTCCACCATAATTTGCAAATAAATTCATTAAAAATCCTACAATGTGATTTTCTGGATTTTTTTTTCTCATTTTGTCTGTCATAGTTGACGTGTACCTATGATGAAAATTACAGGCCTCTCTTATCTTTTTAAGTGGGAGAACTTGCACAATTGGTGGCTGACTAAATACTTTTCCCCCCCACTGTACAGTTGAAGTCGGAAGTTTACATAATCTGCTTTGTGACTATTCACAGATATTTACATTTGTATGATGTTTTGACATTGTACATCTGCGTCTTTATGTCTGTATTATTGAAGTACATATTATTTAATGATACAGTTGAAATCGGAAGTTTACATACACTTGGTTGGAGTCATTAAAACTCGTTTTTCAACCACTCCACACATTTCTTGTTAACAAACTATAGTTTTGGCAAGTCGGTTAGGACATCTACTTTGTGCATGACACAAGTAATTTTTCCAACAATTGTTTACAGACAGATTATTTCATTTATAATTCACTGTATCACAATTCCAGTGGGTCGGAAGTTTACATACACTAAGTTGACTGTACCTTTAAACAGCTTGGGAAATTCCAGAAAATGATGTCATGGCTTTAGAAGCTTCTGATGGGCTAATTGACATCATTTGAGTCAATTGGAGGTGTACCTGTGGATGTATTTCAAGGCCATCTGTACAAACAATAGTACGCAAGTTTAAACACCCTGGGACCACGCAGCTGTCATACCGCTCAGGAAGGAGATGCGTTCTGTCTCCTAGAGATGAATGTACTTTGGTGCGAAAAGTGCAAATCAATCCCAGAACAACAGCAAAGGACCTTGTGAAGATGCTGGAGGAAAGTATCTATATCCACAGTAAAACGAGTCCTATATCGACATAACATGAAAGGCCGCTCAGCAAGGAAGAAGCAACTGCTCCAAAACCGCCATAAAAAAGCCAGACTACGGTTTGCAACTGCACATGGGGACAAAGATCGTACTTTTTGGAGAAATGTCCTCTGGTCTGATGAAACAAAAATAACTGTTTGGCCATAATGACCATCGTTATGTTTGGAGGAAATAGGGGGCAAATTGCAACCCGAAGAACACCATCCCAACCGTGAATCACGGGGGTGGCAGCATCATGCTGTGGGGGTGCTTTGCTGCAGGAGGGACTGGTGCACTAAACAAAATAGATAGCATCATGAGGAAGGAAAATTATGTGGATATATTGAAGCAACATCTCAAGACCATCAGTCAGGAAGTTAAAGCTTTGGTCGCAAATGGGTCTTCCAAATGGACAATGACCCCAAGCATCCTTCCAAAGTTGTGGCAAAATGGCTTAAGTACAACAAAGTCAAGGTATTGGAGTGGCCATCACAAAGCCCTGACCTCAATCCTATAGAACATTTGTAGGCAGAACTGAAAAAGCGTGTGCGAGCAAGGAGGCCTACAAACCTGACTCAGTTACACCAGCTCTGTCAGGAGGAATGGGCCAAAATTCACCCAACTTATTGTGGGAAGCTTGTGGAAGGCTACCCGAAATGTTTGACCCAAGTTAAACAATTTAAAGGCAACGCTACCAAATACTAATTGAGTGTATGTAAACTTCTGACCCACTGGGAATGTGATGAAATAAATAAAAGCTGAAATAAATCATTATCTCTACTATTATTCTGACATTTCACATTCTTAAAATAAAGTGGTGATCCTAACTGACCTAAAACAGGGAATTGTTTACTTGGATTAAATGTCAGGAATTGTTGAGAGAATGATTTATTTCAGCTTTTATTTCTTTCATCACATTCCCAAAAACTGAGTTTAAATGTATTTGGCTAAGTTGTATGTAAACTTACAAATATATATATTTGCAAGAAAAAAATAACATATGGGGGATTGGAAGTGATGCAGACAATTACATTGATGGAAGTTACAATCTATCTGCAATATTAAAGCTGATCTACCCCCTAAAAAATTTAAAAATAAACCTGGCAGTCCCAAAACCTTTTTGGTCCACCAGCATCTACTAAGCATCTACTAAGCTAACATATGTAATTTAGGTATCAAAAATATACAGTACCAGTCAAAAGTTTGGACACACCTACTCATTCAAGGGTTTTTCTTTATTTTGACTATTTTCTACATTGTATCATGTAGTAACCAAAAAAAACAAAAAAGTGTTAAACAAATCAAAATATATTTGAGATTCTTAAAATAGTCACCCTTTGCGTTGATGACAGCATTGCACACTCTTGGTATTCTCTCAACCAGCTTCATGAGGTAGTCACCTGGACTGCATTTCAATTAACAGGTGTGCCTTCTTAAAGTTTAATTTGCTTCTTAATGTGTTTGAAGCAATCAGTTGTGTTGTGACAACGTGACCAAGACAAAGGAGATGATTGTGGACTACAGGAAAAAAAAAGAGGACTGAGCACGCCCCCATTCTCATCGACAGGGGCTGTAGTGGAACAGGTTTGAGAGCTTCAAGTTCCTTGGTGTCCCACATCACCAACAAACTATCATGGTCCAAACACACCAAGACAGTCGTGAAGAGGGCACGACAAAGCCTATTCCCCCTCAGGAGACTGAAAAGATTTGGCATGGGTCCTCAGATCCTCAAAAAGTTATACAGCTGCAACCATCGAGAGCATCCTGACTGGTTGCATCACCGCCTGGTATGGCAACTGCTCCGGCCATCCTACCGCAAGGCACTACAGAGGGTAGTGCGTACGGCCCAGTAACATCACTGGGGGCCAAGCTTCCTGCCATCCAGGACCTCTATACCAGGCGGTTGTCAGAGGAAGGCCCTCAAAATTGTCAAAGACTCCAGCCACCCTAGTCATAGACCTCATACGTGTCAGTTGTTTTTGATTTAGGACACAAGCCTCACAAGCCTCGCCTGAAGGTAGCCCGGTAGCAGTGATTTGCTTACCCCGCAATATGATTGGCATACAGCAGTTGCTCCAGGACAGCAGTCTTGCCAACGGCAGCCAGACCCACACACCACCACTTTACAACTCTTGCCCATGATGATGATGAGTCTCTTGGCAAACTCTGTAATTGACTAAAAGTCAGATGACAGTCATGTCTCTGCAGCTAGCAATACACTAATAGTGACAGACAGACAGACAGACAGACACACACACCCCCACACAATTTTTTCTTCTTTCTTACAGGTCATAGAGTAGGAAGTTTTCCCTCACGTAGCAGAACATGATATTATCAGGACCTGTAGCTAGCTAGCTAACGTTTGCTAGCTAGCTACGTGCTAACGTTTAGCATGTATCTAGGTATCGCACGGCAAACCGGTACCGGAGCGCCAAGTCTAGGTCCAAACGGCTTCTCAACAGCTTCTAACCCCCAAGCCATAAGACTCCTGAACAGCTAATCATGGCTACCCGGACTATTTGCACCCCCACCCCATCTTTTTACGGTGCTGCTACTCTGTTTAATGATTTATGCATAGTCACTTTAACTCTACCCACATGTACATATTACCTCAAGTAGCCGGTGGCCCCCCGCACATTGAACCCAGTAGCACCAGTAACCCCCCTGTATATAGCCTCCCTATTGTTATTTATTTTACTTCTGCTCTTTTTTTCTCAACATTTTTTTGTTGTTGTTGTTTTATTTTACTTTTTTATCAAGAAATAAATGCATTGTTGGTTAAGGGCTGTAAGTAAGCATTTCACGGTAATGTCTACACCTGTTGTATTCAGCACAAATTTGATTTGATTTGATTTGGCTACGTTGAAGAATCTCAAATATAAAATATATTTTGATTTGTTTAAACACTTTTTTGGTTACTACATGACTCCATATGTTATTTCATAGTTTTGATGTCTTCATTATTATTCTACAATGTAGAAACACCCTTGAATGAGTAGGTGTCCAAACTTCTGACTGGTACTGTATATACAAATGTTTTTTACTGCTATTAGCCCATAGAAACACATTAGATAACATATTCATACATGGAAAAACATAGTCAAAATGAAGTTTGTTTTGAAGTGTCTGTCCTATATCCAAGAGATATAAGAAAGATCAGGAACCTTTTTTTCCCAACTTTTTTTAAAAACACATATTTAACCGCTTTTTTTAGGCACTAAACTACTTCCATATATACTGGCATTAATTTTTTCACTGCTACCGGGCTACCTTCAGCCGAGGCTTGTGAGGCTTGCGTCCTAAATCAAAACAACCGACACGTATGAGTTCGTGAGAGACACCTTTCTCATATCAGTGTGTAGCCCAAACTGTTCGGAAGCTACAGACAGAAGTTGGCAGATCGGCCGTACAGTCTCACAATGTTTTTTCCCCCCGTAGTTTTTAGCCCACCAGGAGTTGGCATTGGCAAGAGAGCAGAAACAGACACCCATTCAGGGTAAAACAATGCATGTAGAAATAGAGTAACATTGACGCTAGCTCGCTCTATCAAAATAAAAAATGTTCGTGTCTTCCATCCTCTTTGCGGTAGTGGCTCAAACAAGTCTTACCACCATCGGACGCTAGAGGTCGCAGTTACAAAAGATAGTGAGGGATACGTTACGTAGGCATTGTAAACAGGAAGTATTTTTGAGTAGTGGTGTCTGGAATTTACGGGAGCGCTGTATTTACATTTGCAAGGTAAAAATATTGCAAGAAAATCAAATGTTGAATTTAGTTGTTATCTGGACGAACATAACAACGGCCATGATCACTTAAATAGAATAGTTAGCTTGCTAGATACATGCTAAACGTTAGCATATAGCTAGCTAGCAAACGTTAGCTAGCTAGCTACGGGTCCTGATAATATCATGTTCTGCTACGTGAGGGAAAACTTCCTACCTCTATGAACTGTAAGAAAAAAAAGTGTGTGTGTGTCTGTCACTATTAGTGTATTGCTAGCTGCAGAGACGTGACTGTCATCTGACTTGTTATTCAATTACAGAGTTGTCATCATCATGGGCAAGAGTTGTAAAGTGGTGGTGTGTGGTCTGGCTGCCGTTGGCAAGACTGCTGTCCTGGAGCAACTGCTGTATGCCAATCATATTGCGGGTAAGCAAATCATTTGTAGGACCTAGCTAGATCAAGGACAATGTTGATGTTTTGACTACACAGATCCTCAGGTCTCATTGATATCCCAAAGTGCCCCCCTCTTTTCCCCGCTAGGCTCAGAGCCCATGGAGACCCTGGAGGACATCTATATTGGCTCCATAGAAACGGACCGTGGCACTCGAGAGCAAGTGCGCTTCTACGACACCCGGGGTCTTCGTGATGGTCTGGAGTTCCCTCGCCACTACTACTCCTTTGCAGACGGTTTTGTCCTGGTCTACAGCATCGACAGTAAGGAGTCCTTCAAACGCATGGAGGCTCTCAAGAAAGACATTGACCGCTACCGTGATAAGAAAGAGGTAAGGACTTTCATCTATTTCAATGGTTGTTGTAAAGCACAGTGTCGTGTAGGCTAGTTAAATAACAGCACAGACTTCAGGACAAAACAGACCCGTGCTGACCAACGGCCGTCCTATCGCCTCTGACTGCAGAACATCAGCCACCTTTATTTTTTGTTAATTCCCTGATGGTCCTACATGTTGAATCATCACCGTACGTCAACAGCCAGCAGGTTATGTACTGCGCGCGGCCGACATTCTTTATGGTGTGTCTTGTCCTAAAGTTCTTATCTACCCACCACACTCCACTTGCTGACATCCAGGTGATGTGAGGCTGTGCTAAATGGATGAGATGATCTGTCCACAGGTGACCATAGTGGTGCTGGGCAACAAGCTGGACATGCAGGAGCAGAGGAGCGTGGACTCAGAGGTGGCCCAGCACTGGGCCAAGACAGAAAAGGTGCGTCTGTGGGAGGTGTCTGTGGCAGACCGGAGGACCCTCATCGAGCCCTTCGTCCACCTGGCCAGCAAGATGACCCAGCCCCAGAGCAAATCATCCTTCCCCCTCAGCCGCAATAAGAACAAGGGGAGTGGCTCTGTCGAAAGCTGAGGGAGCAGGGGGGATGGAAGGGGGGAGGGAGCGAGGATTGATGAAGAATGAGAAAGATTTTGGGAGAAAGGGAGGGAAAGAGTAGGAGAGGAGAAACGCAGTAGGCTGATTATTAGCCTAACACAAATATAGACAATTTTATGTCTGCACGAATTTACACTGACTGAATCAGAAACCAATGGTTTCATGGAGATTTGGACTGATATTTAGACTGATATTTGACAACAAGTAAATGTTGACATCAAAAGCAACACAAATGGATAATCAGGAGGGTTGTTTGTATCAGGGAGGATACATTAGGGATTATATTACTGTTAGTTAATCAGGAGATTTGTTACACTACTGGCATGCCATCTACTCAGATGAAATGCGGCAACTATTTCAGCATGGATGATCTGCGTTTTATTTTAAGTTACAGTACATGAAATAAATCCATGTTTTGAATAATTAAAAAAACATTCCTCTATTATTTTAGAGATGTCATAAAACAGGTTACTGCCTTTTGAGATCACTTTGAGTTTTAATATGACATTATTGTCTAAAGATTTTAATTGTGGTAACAGACTAGCAGTCTTATGTGATGTATCTTGGTGAGCAGGGTGTTTGAAGAGCTTCCAGCCTGCTGGACAGGCCCTGATGTGGGGACTGAGAGAGAGGCCCTTGCCTGACTGTTATATCAATGGAGCTCTTGACCACAGCCTAAGCATGCTGAATTATCTGTACCTTATCAGAAACTCCTTACTGTCCATGAAAACCTCTGCATCAGTTAAAGATGGGGCATCCTTGATCTTTGTTACTGAGCTGTTAAACACTATATTGGTCAGACGAAATGCGAATGTATTTCATTTTAAAATTATTTAACTGATCGAAGCCATTTAATGGCATGTCAGGGTCAATAGTTATTGTGCAACATTTCATGTGTGTACCACTGAACAAGAACAATGCCTTGGCCTAGTTTGGATGTAGCTTTTTGCTTTGTGACTATTCACAGATCTTTACATTTGTATGATGTTTTGACATTGTGCATCTGCGTCTTTATGTCTGTATTATTGAAGTACATATTATTTTCATGATACAGTTGAAGTCAGAAGTTTACCTACACTTAGGTTGGAGTCATTAAAACTTGTTTTTCAACCACTCCACAAATTTCTTGTTAACAAACTATAGTTTTGGCAAGTCGGTTAGGACATCTACTTTGTGCATGACACAAGTAATTTTTCCAACAATTGTTTACAGACAGAATATTTAACTTATAATTCACTGTTTCACAATTCCAGTGGGTCAGAAGTTTACATACACTAAGCTGACTGTGCCTTTAAACAGCTTGGAAAATTCCAGAAAATGATGTCATGGCTTTAGAAGCTTCTGATAGGCTAATTTACATCATTTGAGTCAAATGGAGGTGTACCTGTGTATGTATTTCAAGGCCTTCCTTCAAACGTAGTGCCTCTTTGCTTGACATCATGGGAAAATCAAAAGAAATCAGCCAAAAAATTGTAGACCTCCACAAGTCTGGTTCATCCTTGGGAGCAATTTCCAAACTTCTGAAGGTACCACGTTCATCTGTACAAACAATAGTACGCATGTATAAACACCATGGGACCACGCAGCCGTCATACCGCTCAGGAAGGAGACGCGTTCTGTCTCCTAGAGATTAACATACTTTCGTGCGAAAAGTGCAAATCAATCCCAGAACAATAGCAAAGGACCTTGTGAAGATGCTGGAGGAAACAGGTACAAAAGTATCTATATCCACAGTAAAACGAGCCCTATATCGACATAACCTGAAAGGCTGCTCAGCAAGAAAGAAGCCACTGCTCCAAAACCGCCATAAAAAAGCCAGACTACGGTTTGCAACTGCACATGGGGACAAAGATTGTACTTTTTTGAGAAATGTCCTCTGGTCTGATGAAACAAAAATAGAATTGTTTGGCCATAATGACCATCGTTATGTTTGGAGGAAAAAGGGGGTTGCTTGCAAACACCATCCCAACCGTGAAGCACGGGGGTGGCAGCATCATGCTGTGGGGGTGCTTTGCTGCAGGAGGGACTGGTGCACTTAACAAATAGATGGCATCATGAGGAAGGAAAATTGTGTGGATATATTGAAGCAACATCTCAAGACCTCAGTCAGGAAGTTAGAGCTTGGTCGCAAAATGGTTCTTCCAAATGAATAATGACCCCAAGCATACTTCCAAAGTTGTGGCAAAATGGCTTAAGGACAACAAAGTCAAGGTATTGGAGTGGCCATCACAAAGCCCTGACCTCAATCCCATAGAACATTTGTGGGCAGAACTGAAAAAGCGTGTGCGAGCAAGGAGGCCTACAAACCTGACTACACCAGCTCTGTCAGGAGGAATGGGCCAAAATTCACCCAACTTATTGTGGGAAGCTTGTGGAAGGCTACCCAAAATGTTTGACCCAAGTTAAACAACAAGGCAATGCTACCAAATACTAATTTAGTGTATGTAAACTTCTGACCCACTGGGAATGTGATGAAATAAATAAAAGCTGAAATAAGTAATTCTCTCTACTATTATTCTGATATTTCACATTCTTAAAATAAAGTGGGGATCCTAACTGACCTAAGACAGGGAATTTTTATTAGGATTAAATGTCAAGAATTGTGAAAAACTGAGTTTAAATGTATTTGGCTAAGGTGTATGTAAACTTCCGACTTCAACTGTAAATATTGGGGCATTTATACTCTGATGCAATATACAGCACAGTATTTATCTTTTAAAATATTCTGGAGACTGGATAATCGTTTGCATATCGTGTAAACAAATTAAAAGATTCCCTCTGCAACTAAGTTGAGGCTGTTGTGTATATCTTTGATTTGCATGATTTATGAAGTAATTCAGCATAATACAAACATTTGTCTTTATTAAAATATTCCTACATTGCTGATTGCGCTGCCATCGCCACAGATCATCCCTGTGAGCTAGGATAAAGATCTTCAGAGAACTCTAAACTTTGCTTAAATCCCTCAACTCTGCCTCCATGTCAGAAATGTGGAGAAGGAGAGAGGAGTCAGAGTAGTGTCACAGAATAACTCATGCATTTTCAAAGGGCATTTTAAAGCAGCTTGGATTCAACTTGTCTTTTCTCTCACTGCTGTGTAGAAGTTCCCTGGGGGGCGGGCAGGTAGCCTAGCGGTTAGAAAGGCCAGCCAGCAACCGAAGGGTTGCCAGTTCAAATCCTGGGTTCGATGAAAGAATTGGGCGGGAAGTGAGCTGGCAATTGGAGAGTTTCTGGTATCAAATCCTAGATGCCTTCTGTTGTGCCCTTGAGCAAGGCCCTTAAGCCCCCACAACAACAGATCCCAGTGTGGCAGCCCCCCGCACCTCCCCAACAAAGGTATGTATATGTGTCTTTCAGAGGGGTTAGGTTAGACCTTATGTGCATTTGACCAATAATGTAATCTTAATCTAGAAAAGTACCTTTTTTTGAGGGTTTGTCATGTGTTCAGCTGAGGTCTCCCTTCTGTCTGGTTGTGCTCAGAACACACTGATGTGTCTGGAATAAGGCCTTTTGTTCTTTAGTGGTGATTGCTGTGAGTACATCTGTACTAATCCATTATTAAGGCTTCATCTCTGCCTTTGATGGAAGATCCTCCAGAGCTCTTTATAGTCTGTATTTAACCTGAACTTGACAGTAGTTAGGTGTGATTCCTCTCCCCAGTAATGAATGGCATTGGTTCTGAGGAATACAGTAGGTTGCTGAAACATCTATTCCATACTGTTGGAACTATACTATATTTCAGGAACAAAAAAAAACATATTCTAAGTGGCCATTTTACATTGAAACAGTGTTATAGTAGGGTGATGAGAGTTCTGCCCTACATACACTGAGACAAGGTCAGACATGTTTATGTAGAGCAAATGAAGCTGCCAACAGTTCCACATGGACCAGCTGACTGGAAAGGTTAATGTAAGCTAATGAGAAAACCTCAAGTGGAACGTTTCTGAATTGATACTATACTCACCTTCAGAGCACAAGCAGAATGTTGTTTCTCATTTCAATCATGTTGTTTTTAATGACTAGAGCCAGTGTGCTGATAATGTTAAGACATTGTGCATTTATCGAGTCACGTATGGATCATTATAAACTAGCATAGCATTACAACCCACATTTATTGTCTTCTTACACAGTACATAAGCACTTAACCCTAATTGCTCCTGTAAGTCGCTCTGGATAAGAGCGTCTGCTAAATGACGTAAATGTAAATAAGGTAAAATGACTTTAACCCAAAACAGCCTCAGGACATTTACATTTTAGTCATTTAGCAGACACTCTTATCCAGTTAGTGAGTGCATACATTATTATCATACTGGCCCCCCCGTGGGAAACAAACCCAAAACCCTGGCGTTGCAAACGCCATGCTCTACCAACTGAGCTACATCCCTGCCGGCCATTCCCTCCCTTACCCTAGACGACGCTGGGCCAATTGTGCGCCGCCCCATGGGTCTCCCGGTCGGCTACGATAGAGCCTGGATTCGAACCAGGATCTCTAGTGGCACAGCTAGCACTGCGATGCAGTGCCTTATACCACTGCGCCACTCGGGAGACTCCCTCTGGACCCTATATAACCCCCAATACTAGAGATCCTGGTTCGAATCCAGGCTCTATCGTAGCCGGCCGCGACCGGGAGACCCATGGGCGTTATCTACGTTTAACAGAGGGCAGTGAACAATAAAACATCTCACTCTCTATATTGACCTCCTGTTAAAATGTGACATTTACCACACAGCTTCAAATACACACTGTGAATACTGCGGAGGGAGCGGTAGATTTGTGACTTGTCCCCATTGTGATTTATGAACCCACCTCACCAACTAGACTACCACCACAACAAAAATAGCCATTTCCCCAAGGATGACACTAAGAAAAAAAATACCAAAGCAATGTCATTTTATCTCTACTACAGTACTGGTTTACTGTCATAGCAAAAAACACCAGATCCCTCTTCAGTGCTGCAGCTGAGCATCTAGCTAGCCTCCCCCAGGGACATGCAGGACCAATGGGATTTCTCCCCCTTTCTTTTTACAATGGAGATTATTTATCTCAACCCTGGCAGTTGCTATAGTGACCTTCTAATCGCAGCATTTCCATCCCAGCACTATGTCTTCAAGAGGTAGACTGTGATTTAAGGGTTTTGATAGAGGCCAGCACACATGCCGAACAATGTACTCGTGATTTGGTATGATCACGTGCCCCATGGAACCATTCTAACTGCTTGACCCCAGCCTCTGGACCAATACAACCCAGACACAAGGCCAGATCTTTTTTATATGAAATCCCTCCAGAAAGCTACGGTTACCGTGGCCTGCTGCAAAGATAAAACTGTCACAGAAGAGATTATTTCTTCCTCTTTACAAGAGAGAGGTATGAGTTTATGGCCATGATTTGGTGGCAAGGGAAAGGTCAAATGTTTCTTATCAAATAATGATTTTGATGCTCTGTGACAGATCAACATTAACCGGGCCCCAAAGCAGTTGGTGCAGCTCATTCCACCTGAATACACGGAGGGCGAGCTTACATAATCTGCTATAGGACAATACCTAATGAATGTAAACACACAACAACATGTCATTTTGAATAATGTTTTAAATAGGATTTGATCATGCTGCAAAGCAATATGTGTGTGTGTGTGTATGTGTGTGTTTGGAGAGGATCTAACGCCTTTGACATTATGAATCGGGACATGATGACAAGTCATCTGGTTCCAGTCAATAGCCGGACACTTAAAGGCCAATAAAATACAAAGTGACGCTGAGGAATCGATTTATTTCACTATCCAACTTCTCCCTCTCTATTTCTCTCTCTCCCATTTATTTCTCTGTCATTCATATCCAACCTGGCATTATCTATACAGATGGAAAAAACAACAACATTTAAAGCAAAGACTCAATAGCTTATCAAAATATCTTACTCTCTATTCCACCTTACAATTCTTATTGTACATCATAAAGATCATTGTAATCAAATGTACAGTGAACATAGTGAGAAAGGCATTACAATAAATGCTGGCCATGTCCCCTCATAGAATTTCTTCTACATCATAGTACATGTTTTGTAATGTACCATTGGCTTTAAATTGAACACAAGGGCTGCATTTACACAGGCAGCCCAATTCTGTTTTCTTTTCTCCCACTAATTGTTTTTTTTGCCAATCACAGATCTTTTTACATCAGATCTTTTTCAGAGCTGATCTGATTGGTCAAAAGACCAATTAGTGAAAAAAAATATCAGAATTGGGCTGCCTGTCTAAATGCAGCCAAGCAGTCACAGATATTGATATGTACTGTACAACTCGACATACACAATGTACTGACTCCATGTCCTTAATACAGAGAGGGAGGAACCAGGGACTGACCACCACAGCAACAGAAACAGGTGTCATTCAGGTAGAGATCAATATATCAGTGTCGTGGATATGTAGGGGTCTGGCAAGGTTCCAATGTTCTTCTGTCATCCCCGACAGTGGCTTCAGACATGGGTATGGATCACTTGACCTTGGCAATGGGAGAGATGTGTTTGTGCTTACCTAACGTTTCCACACGGGGTGAGCTGGAATAAGGACCTACAGTGGTAGTGAGAACAACAATACTGTCCAACCACATTATATGTACGGGCTCCCCTTCAAATAAACAAGGACATGGATGGGAAGCCAACAAACGAAAAGCTGATTGAACAAAATACACATCATTATGGTATGCATGTTACAGTTCATTACAGTCCAGAAGAGTCTCCAGACAGATGCTCCGTTGATGATTGGCGTTATTATGGCTCTGGCTTCAGTTCAGACAACAAGAGCACATGAAACCAATGACACAGGACCCGCTCTGGACACGGAGGACAGAGAAAATCTGTGAAGAACAGCTGTAGTGGTGGTCCAGAATCCAGTATTGTTCCATGATATTGTTCAGAACCTAATCTCTCTCCAGTATCTGGAGCCGCTCCAGAGGATGATGTTATGATGTTCTGCCCACTGAAACCATCTGTGCGTGAATACTGTGCAGATAAACCAGATTATTATCCAGTCTGTTGTTCCTCAGCATGTCACTCCTTTCTGTGTCAATAACTCTGTTTATACCTGCTGTTAGCATGCGGCCTTCGTCCTGATCGTGTCCTGATCTTGACCTGATCTTGTCTGTTTACACTTATAAGATCTGATCACAATCAGATAACAATGCGTCTTTTAATCGTCTACACTAAAAATGTGGGCACAATCAGAATATGGACAAGATCAGGACAAAGGCTGCAGGTTAGAACCAGGTATAAACAGGGCTAATGAGGCAGGACACGGATGGGGGCAGACACCTTTCTCATTTCGCCTTCATGTGTTTATCTTCGCAGTGTTGCATGCTTGCTGTGAAGACTAACTTTTAAAATAGCGGGAAATGAGAGCTGTGTTTTGACATCCGGGATATGCAGATCCTATACCAGGAAACTCACTTCTGAGAAATAAAAAAAACATTTATTTTTTTCAGTTTTGAGAAATGCCAGCTCCTCCCACCTCACAGGCAGCAGCCTCTGTCAAGATGGCTGCCTTGTAGTTTCGTAGCCTACCATTACGTACAGCACACACTTTCTATTACTGAAAGAAATGGGTCACTGGTAGACTGATAGATAATTGACATTTCACCACACTGCAATTGAAGAGAATGTGATTATAGTGCTTTGTTTTATCTATGGCGTCTCTGTTTATAATAAGGGGACACATCCCTTATCGTACCCAGGACTGAGCTGTGTATTTGGGCTGGTCTACTATCCATGGTTCCCTTGGCTGTGCACAGGGATGGAGGAGTGAAAAAGAGAGACACGGACACACCACAATGTCCTCCTATATGATCCTCATCTTACATCCAATCTTCTCCAATCCTGTTCTGCATGGTTGTTATTTCACTTTATCCACAAGTACAGTGTATGGTCCGTCTCTATGGTGATGGAGTTTGAGAGGCTCTGATTGGATGGATGATTGTATGGCAATAATGTAGCTGAAACTGTAAGCCCCGGGAAGACCAGAAACTGACCAGTAGTTGACGCTCTTGGGATGCACTGGATAATTACGTCTGAAAGGCCTTTTTTGTTCCACATCTATTCTATTGTGTTGTGTCGTTAATAATTCAATTCCATAATTCAGTTAAACTTTGAACAAGAAGAAAAAATCACTCAACCATTTTTAGTTTCAACATTTGTCTCTTTTGTAGGTTAAAAAACAAGTACAGTAAAACCATGTAAATAAAACAAACAGAAAAAAACAAGCAAAGTATTTCTCCTTTCCATGTACAGCATGTGTCTGCTGTAGCCTACATCAATAGTCTACCCTCGGCTAACATAGCACTTCATCAAGATAAAGCTAACAATAGCAACTTTGATAAAATTTCTATATTTACTCTATATTTTCTACATAGATAATTTGCCTTCTCTAGATGTATATATTTATTTAATAAACATTTCCTTAAATGTCTGAATACCATAGAGTTCCCATGTAATGATAGAGAGACAGACAGACGGACAAACATGAGATCAATAGGCTGGCTGGTTCACTGAGTAACTTACTGTGACTGGGGAGAATCACATTGGTATGGCAAAGAGACCTGATGGCTTGGTTTCATATTCCCAAAGACAAAGGCCTCAGAAACATGTACAGAATCAAAGAGATTTAGAAAGATGGAGGAGAGACAGTGCTGAGTTTGATCTAGAAGGGCAATAACAGGGACTTCACTGCAGGTGGCGCTGCTGCATCACACACATGGAAATACTATTGCACTGACTGAACTGAAGGGAACAACAAAACTGCATAGGATTTTCACCATTTTGCTGTAGCTAAAGTAGACTGGTTGGGTGTAAGTGTTGGGTTTGGTAATAAACCAGCAAGGAGAGTTGGTATTGGATGTTGAGATAAGTCAGGAGCCCCAAGTATTGGGTCTGGTCTGGTGGGGGCTATTGAGTGTTTGTTTCAAGGTGGGTCTATGTGTTTAGGAGAGAGGGGTATGGGAATATGATTATGTGTTCTACTGCACTTGTGACACATCAATAACATTGGCTGTTCTGTGTAATCCATATAATAGCTGTGTCCTACTCCTCTGTAAGGTGAAATCCCAGCAATGTCAACACAGAGAGAGGGCTGAAGCATCCACCCCACAGTATGAGAGCTGCTATTTATAGCTTAGATCAACACACAGTCACAACATAAGAATGAGATTGACCATCAAGGAAAATAGCATCACAACAACCCATCAGTTCAAATTACTCTTAGCACTGGCCACTTGGAATTGGCCTTTCAAATACAGTATGGTAGGCTATGGAGCATCTCTGTAGAGGTACAGATACATTGTTCAGAATCGGATAAAGCCACCTCCCCACATCCTATTTTCTCCCACTGTATAACCGTACTAAACATAGACACATTGATTGAACGTATTGCTTTAAAAATGTAACTAGATCTGAGATTTAGATTCAGACCTGTCTCATGGATAATATCAACAATAAAATTGAATCATTATAACTTGATTGTTTGTGTGATTGAAAAATGCTAAATCAAACTGGCATGAGTTTATGAAAAATAACACCAAGAATAACAACAACAAAAAACATTAACGTATTTTCATTGCTTTCATAAGTAAATCTGTTTAAGGTGCTTTTAATGTGGTTGCCATGGCACCGTTCTTTGTTTCTTTCCCTCCATTCCTGATGATCCGATCAGTGATCTGGGAAATGTGTTCCCACACCCCCCCATCACCCACACATCTCTCTGCACAGTGGAAACCTTTAATTGAGGATTGTAAACCCATCAAGTCATTTCCACCCCTTAGTGGGTTTTTTTGGGCAAGGGGAAATTGTTATTCACTGCTACCCAACAGCTCCTGCTGAGATAGCTCAAGAGAAAATTAAGGACTATGGCTCAGGGAGTACAATTGGGGGATCAAACACTATAAAATCACTGGGATACAGAGAACCATGGCAGATTACAATATAAGACAGCTTTAAAAAAATGATTTTGTGCTGCCCGTTCCGCAACGGGATAAATAGAGACAGTCAGAACCAATGTACCAGCGCCGCTACGGAGCAAAGATCTTTAATGAGGCAGATCTGCAACTTGAGACAAAATCAAGTTGACAAGCTGACCTTTTCAGGACTTTAATGAGTGCTTAATTCTGGGGATGCAGGGTAAAAAATGAATTATGAAAGGCCATGTTGGGCTGTGACTCATAGAGAGAAAGAGAGAGAGAGGGAGAGAGAGAAAGGGCTTAATCATCTATTCTGCACATCAATTCAGGGCTCTGGGTTCCAATGACAAGACCCCAGTAACAGGGTTTGGGAGAGAGGGGCTTGGTGGAAGGGTGTTGGTGGAAATATGTGTATAGTTCTGACAGATTCCACTCATAGACTTGGGTCCGTAGGACTGCAGATCTGCAGGTCCACATATGGCTGAAGAAAGTCACAAGCTCAGAGAGCATTGGGCTCACCTGCTGGCATCCCCTATATCGACCCATAACAACAAAAAGTAAACCAATGAATAATAGAAACAATGTATTGATGAGTAACATCACGTTAAGGGACCTTATTTGTGGCAACCACACTAAACAGATATATCTATTGTTGTTCTCTAATAAATTACACAATAATATTAAGAATCCAAACCAAATCGACCCATGAAATGGCTGTATAAGAGAGAGGCCTCCTGGCTGCACCAGTCTGTCCCTGGAGGTGTGTCCTGTTCCTCAGGCCACCAACCACAGGAGGAAGAGCAGACAGATGGGGCGTGGTGGAGAGGAGGTGGGGCCTTGGCCTTGGGGGTGTGTCCTCCATGACAGGGGCAGTTGTTAGCCTCTCTCCGTTATCGCCATCCTGGCTCCTGTGGTCTGCATAGTTTGTGCGTGGCGTGGCCCTCGTCATGTTGGTCACAGTAATGGAGGCAGGGCAAGGGGGTTGGCAGAGGGGGACAGGGGTGGAGCTCAGAGGGACAGGGGGCTGTACTGTGTCATTAATAAGGGGAGAAGATGATGGAGGGGTGCGTGGCCCTCAGGGGCCCTGGGGCGGGCCGGAACAGGGTGGGGCTCAGGAAGGGCGTCTGAAAGAAGGTGGTGCCCGCCGGGTGGCGCAGAGCCAGAGGATTGGTTGCCATGGTGCACAGAGTGGGCTGGGTGAGGGGGCTGGGCAGGAAGCCAGTGGTCAGGCTCTTGGTCAGCTGCTTCTGGAAGGCCAGTTTGGCCTGAAGGAGAGGAGGAGAGAGCAAGAGAGGGAAGGAAGAAAGGAGGGGAGGAAATGAGAGAGGAGAGCAGAGACCGAGAGAGCATGTCATTTCTTGAGGCGCTCACATTTACTTAAAGTAGCGCACACATTTGCTCAGCAAACACGTTTCCCAGGGAACATTGCTCTTTTGCACACATCGTTACCTTGGCTAAACATGCTTGTACATTTCTCCATACTAATATCCTTTCTCTCACCACAACTACCCGTCCCTCTAGGGATTTGCCTTATGAACACTCTCACACAGTCAAGACAAAAGAACAAAAGACTGAACCACAGACACACAGACATGCTTCAACTCCAAACCCTTTACAAAGGTGCTGTTCAATCCCCTGCACCTAGCCAGTTCCAGTGGTTAACCCTGACTTCTCTTGTCCCTGCCTGCCCTGGGCCCTGCCACTCACCTGAGTAGAGAGAGAGGTGAGGTTGTACTGGCTGAACATTTTCTTCATGGCAGACACGGCCCCGCCTGCATACCCAGCATATCTCACATTCTGCAGGTGGGAGGGGGAGGACGGGAAGAGGGGGAGGTGGAGGAGATGGAGATGCAGAGGAGGGAGAAGTGGGGAGGTGGAGGTGGAGATGGGGTGGAGCAGAGGAGATGGGGAGAAGGAGAGGTGGAGGGGAGGTGCGCACATGACAGGAGCACAAAAGTGATTAATACGGAGTGCTGATTCAGGCTGTGTCAGTAGGGGTAGTGCTTGGGGTATTGCTGGGGGTTTTTTCAGCCTTGGATGTCTCAGGAGCAGGGGACCCATTCAATACCACACAGCAGTGTCCTTAACCTCTCTGACAGCACAGGCACACAGGCATGCTGCTTCACTGGAGAGACAACCCCCTAGGGAGGAGCAATTTTTATTTAACCAGGCAAGTCAGTTAAGAATAAATTATTATTTACAATGACGACCTACACCGGCCAAACCCGGACAACGCTGGGCCAATTGTGCGCCACCCTATCACGGCCGGTTGTGATACCGCCTGGAATCGAACCAGGGGGTCTGTAGTGACGCCTCAAGACCGCTTAGACCGCTGCGCCACTCGGGAGCCCAATGAAGTGTGTGTGTGTGTCAGGGTTGGGGACAATTCCATTAAAGTTCAGTCAATTCAGGAGATAAATATCAATTTAATTCAGAGATTGAACATTATTGGCCATTATTTTCTAAGAGGATTTTCCAAATTCATGGGTCTTAACCTTGAATTAACCTCAAACCATGCGTGCGACTGCGCGTGTGTGTCTACATGAAAATTCATGCAATGGTGTGTGTGTGGATCTGTGTGTGTGCCGTGTCTCACCGATAAGCTGGAGGTGGGCTGGCTTTTGTTGTGGGGGCTGAACTTGGGTTTGGGGGGCTTTCCTGCCAGACGGTCCTTGTGCCTCCTGCTGTTCATGTGCTGAGGAGACCAGAGGAGAAACATTAGCCTGCTAATCTAGTTTATAATGTTGGATTTCTCTAGTAGACCATGCCTGATCTACACTGAGTGTACAAAACTTTAGGAACACCTTCCTAATATTGAGTTGCACCCCCTTTTGCCCTCAGAATAGCCTCAATTTGTCGAGGCATGGACTCTACAAGGTGTCGAAAGCGTTCCACAGGGATGCTGGCCCATGTTGACTCCAATGCTTCCCACAGTTATGTCAAGTTGGCTGGATGTCCTTTGGGTGGTGGACCATTGTTGATACACACAGGAAACTGTTGAGTGGGAAAAACCTAGCAGTATTGAAGTTCTTGACACACTCAAACTGGTGCGCCTGGCACCTACTACCATACCCCGTTCAAAGGCACTTCAATCTTTTGTCTTGCCCATTCACCCTCTGAATGGCACACATAGACAATCCATGTCTCAATTGTCTTCTTTAACCTGTCTCCTCCCCTTCATCTACACTGATTGAAGTGGATTTAACAAGTTACATCAATAAGGGATCATAGCTTTCACCTGGTCAGTCTATGTCATGGAAAGAGCAGGTTCTTAATGTTTTGTACACTCAGTGTACAATATGGCTGACTATCTGAAAAAATATTTAGGACTCAAAACCACAAAGAAGACCACTACTTCCCTCTATCTACAGTATGCACATTTCTATTTCTCTCTCCTCTGTTCTACTATTAACTGGTTAATCCTAGTTCATCAGAGGATTGGGTGAGGTTTTAACAGTGTCATTGGAATACACTACTAAGGCTTGTTGTAGGCAAGGTTGCGACACATGCCCATATATACTGTATCTTTTCCATGACCAGCTAGTCTGAGAGAGCTGCAAAACCATCCCATCACACGATTAGATGTACAATTTAATGAACATCACCAGGGAAGCAATTACCCGAAACAGAATGGAAAAGAGGTTTAATAAAACCATAAGCCTAGATCACCACACCATAAACACGTCAATATCGTGCATTAAGATACTCTTACAGGCTCAAATAGACAGTTCTGAGTGAATCACCATACCATCTGATATACATCTGCTTAGTGTGGGAAAACAATCACAGTATAAAAATATAAAATGCTCATAAGACGCTTTATTCAGAATGGCTTTATTTAGACTGACTGTAAATAAATGCAGTCGCTGCCACTGTGCCAGGTGAATTCAAACACACATTTCCACTGCAATCATCACCTCAGAAATAGTCAAATGTATCTTCTACTGTAACATGTGCAAAGAGAATTTAGTAAGTTCGTTATGCTACCATTAAAAGTGGGAGTGCTGAGGTAGTGACGTCATAGGTACAGTGCATTCGGAAAGTATTCAGACCCCTTCCCTTTTTGTTACGTTACAGCTTTATTCTAAAATGGATTAAATCATTTTTTCCCCCTCATCAATCTACACACAATATCCCATAATGACAAAGCGAAAACAGGTTTTTAGAGATGTTTGCTAATAAAAAAACAAAAAAAACGGAAATACCTTATTTACATAAGTATTCAGACCCTTTGCTATGAGACTCGAAATTGAGCTCAGGTGCATCCTGTTTCCATTGATCATCCTTGAGATGTTTCTATAACTTGATTGGAGTCCACCTGTGATAAATTCAATTGATTGGACATGATTTGGAAAGGCACACACCTGTCTATATAAGGTGCATGTCAGAGCAAAAACCAAGCGATGAGGTCAAAGGAATTGTCCGTAGAGCTCCGAGACAGGATTGTGTCGAGGTATAAATCTGGGGAAGGGTACCAAAAGATTACTGCAGCATTGAAGGTCCCCAAGAACACAGTGGCCTCCATCATTCTTAAATGGAAGAAGTTTGGAACCACCAAGACTCTTCCTAGACCTGACCGCCTGGCCAAACTGAGCAATCGGGGGCGAAGGGCCTTGGTGAGGGAGCTCTGACAGAGCTCCAGAGTTCCTCTGTGTAGATGGGTGAACCTTCCCGAAGGACAACCATCTCTGCAGCACGCCACCAATCAGACCTTTATGGTAGAGTGGCCAGACAGAAGCCACTCCTCAGTGTAAGGCACATGACAGCCCGCTTAGAGTTTGCCAAAAGGCACCTAAAGGACTCTCAGACCATGAGAAACAAGATTCTCTGGTCTGATGAAATGTAGGAGTGGCTTCGGGACAAGTCTCTGAATGTCCTTGAGGGGCCCAGCCAGAGCCCGGACATGAACCCGATCGAACATCTCTGGAGAGACCTGAAAATAGCTGTGCAGCGATCTGCAGAGAAGAATGGGAGAAACTCCCCAAATACAGGTGTGCCAAGCTTGTAGCGTCATACCCAAGAAGACTCAAAGGTGCTTCAACAAAGTACTGAGTAAAGGGTCCGTTTTTTATTTTTAATACATTTGCAAACTTTTCTAAAAACCAGTTCTTGCTTTGTCAGGACACGTTTAGTGGAGGTGGAAAGAGACCCAGAGTGTCAGACCCCCACGTAGTAGACTAGTGGCACAATGGCCTCACTGTGAGAGAACATGAAACCAGATCTTGTCCAGTCCAATCACCTCAGATCCACTCAGGAAGTCAACATACAAAATTATACCCCAGCTGTTTCACTTCTCTCCCCACTGCTAAACCCTCCTCACCCTGTGCAACCCCCAGCCCTCCCCTGCCACCCTCCCCTCGACCCCCAGCCTCCTCACCTGGCTGAGCTGGGTCTCCGAGTTGACGTAGATCTCACACACCTCGCAGTGGAAGTTCTTGCTGGGCACCCCCACGCTGCCCTTGGTACCCAGGCGCTTGCTCTTGCAGGCCGAGCGCCCCCCAGCCCCCGCCACCTTCCCCCGGCGCCGCGGCTGGACGCTCTGACCCTCCAGCATCTGCTTGTGCTTCGTACCTGGAGGAGTGAATTGGGAGGAAGAGAATGTCAGATACACATCACTCTGGAGCAGGTACAGTATGTATACAGTACCAGTCAAAGGTTTGGACACACCTACTCATTCAAGGGTTTTTCTTTCTTTTTACATTGTAGAATAATAGTGAAGACATCAAAATGATGAAATAACACATATGGAATCATGTAGTAACCAAAAAAGTGTTAAACAAATCAAAATATATTTTACATTTGAGATTCTTCAAATAGCCACCCTTTGCCTTGATGACAGCTTTGCACACTATTGGCATTCTCTCAACCAGCTTCATGAGGTATTCACCTGGAATGCATTTCAATTAACAGGTGTGCCTTCTTAAAAGTTAATTTGTGGAATTTCTTTCCTTCTTAATGCGTTTGAGCCAATCAGTTGTGTTGTGAAAAGGTAGGGGGGTATACAGAAGATAGCCCTATTTGGTAAAAGACCAAGTCCATATTATGGTAACAGCTCAAATAAGCAAAGAGATACAACAGTCCATCATTACTTTAAGACATGAAGGTCAGTCAATACGAAACATTTCAAGAACTTTGAAAGTTTCTTCAAGTGAAGTTGCAAAAACCATGAAGCACTATGATGAAACTGGCTCTCATGAGGACGGCCACAGGAATGGAAGACCCAGAGTTACCTCTGTTGCAGAGGATAAGTTCATTAGAGTTACCAGCCTCAGAAATTGCAGCCCAAATAAATGCTTCACAGAGTTCAAGTAACAGACACATCTCAACATCAACTGTTCAGAGGAGACTGCGTGTATCAGGCCTTCATGGTTGAATTGCTGCAAAGAAACCACTACTAAAGGACACCAGTAAGGAGAAGAGACCTGCTTGGGCCAAGAAACACGAGCAATGGACATTAGATCGGTGGAAATGTGTCCTTTGGTCGAGAGGAGGAGGAGGTGTTATGGTGTGGGGGTGCTTTGCTGGTGACACTGTCTGTGATTTATTTAGAATTCAAGCAACACTTAACCAGCATGGCTACCACAGCATTCTGCAACGATACGCCATCCCATCTGGTTTGGGCTTAGTGGGACTATCATTTGTTTTTCAACAGGACAATGACCCAACACACCTCCATGCGGTGTAAGGGCTATTTTACCAAGAAGGAGAGTGATGGAGTGCTGCATCAGATGACCTGGCCTCCACAATCCCCCGACCTCAACCCAACTGAGATGGTTTGGGATGAGTCAGACGGCAGAGTGAAGGAAAAGCAGCCAACAAGTGCTCAGCATATGTGGGAACTCCATCAAGACTGTTGGAAAAGCATTCCAGGTGACAACCTCATGAAGCTGGTTGAGAGAATGCCAAGAGTTTGCAAAGCTGTCATCAAGGCAAAGGGTGGCTATTTGAAGAATCACTTTTTTGGTTACTACATGATTCCATATGTGTTATTTCATAGTTTTGATGTCTTCACTATTATTCTACAATGTAAAACATTTTAAAAATAAAGAAAAACCCTTGAATGAGTAGGTGTGTCCAAACTTTTGACTGGTAGTGTATATTTTTGCCATTGGGGCAGAAAGAGAAAATTGCAGTTTTACAGCTAATCTAATGCTATTTTACACATTTGTCCATGAGGCTGAGAGAAAATGTTGCTGTTTTAGAGCTAATTTCCTGCTATTCTACACATTTTGTCATGAGGCTGAGTTTTTGTTGTTGTTGCTGTTAGCTAATAGCCTGTAATAAATAGAAATAAATCATGGCTTATGACGTGTTCATATGCTATCTGAGGGGGCTGCGGGGTGTGCTACGCCAGTGACTGTCGTGTTCGTACCACTGTTGTGTGCCTCCAGCTGGGATGTAGAGTTGACCGTGACCTTGCACACGGGACAGTGGAGGTGTGGCTTGATCCTCTTGGGGTCCTTGTCGTCCTCACCCCCCTCTGTGCTGGAGGTGTCCGGCTGGCTGCCTGACTCCAGGGCTGTTCCAGGGGCCTCTGGGCCCTGTTCGGGGCCACTGGTGTCTGAGGCTCCGCTCTCTGAGGCCTGGGAGGAGTGGGACACCTCTCCCTGGGGCCCGGGGGACAGGGTGGCCAGCTCCATGGAGGATACCTCAGATATAGGGGTCAGCAGCACAGAGCTGCTGCTTCCGGGGCTCTCGCCCAGCTTCACAGCCTCACAATTCACCACTGGCTCCAGGTCAGCAGGCAGCAGATCTGGGGAGGAGAAGGAGAGGAGGCAGTGGTCAGTCACTGAACATTACACTGGGTGGTATGGGAAGAGTGAAGAGCTTAGTGCCTGAACAATGCCACCGAGGACTACAGTTGATCACTGCAGTATGACGTTCAATGACTGACCACAGGGATCACTCATAAGAAACATTATGTTCAGAGACAGAGCTGTGTTAATCTAGTTTGTCCCTCAGGGTTAAAAACAAAGGCTGGTAGTATAGCTGATATACCACAAAGCTAACACATGAAATGCATTGGTAAATGCTCATTCCAATGTACTGCCTTCAAATGCTTCATATTGCAGAACATGTTTATAGATTATGGAAACAGGTTGTAAAAGCAGCATTGCAAGTAATACTGTGAGTGAAAAGTGACATCAAATAATGCTTGTTCTCATTTGAGGCTAACTTGGAGAATTAGCTCATTTCTGTTTAGTAATTTATCTACAAACGACCATGAAGCGTTTGAAGGCAGTACATTGGAATGAGCATTTACCAATGCATTTCATGTGTTAGTTTTGTGGCATTTCAGCTATACTATCAGCCTTTGTTTTAACCCCGAGGGACAGACTAGATTAACACAGGGTAGATTCAATCTCTCTCTCTCTCTCTTCAAATATCAACTGAAGGTCCTAAGGCTCAGTCAATATAAACAAATGCATCGACTGCTGGGCCCAGCCCATAAGTCACTGCAGCGCCATTACACACACACACACACAAACACACACACACACACACACACACACACACACACACACACACACACACACACACACACACACACACACACACACACACACACACACACACACACACACACACACACACACACACACACACACACACACACACACACACACACACACACACACACACACACACACACACCTCCCCTCACTCCCCAAAGGAATCACACACTTTCAGCTTTACCCAAGGGCTATCTCAATTTCATTAAAGACGTCCGTATGCTTTCCAGCCGAAACAGTTCAGTAGAGTTCATGCATATATTATGATGACGTTTTGTTCGTTTTTGGACTTCGGTGAGGGCTGTTCGGGCACACAAAAAAATGTTCTGGAGGCAAGCCGAAGTTCAGAGCCGGAATCTATGCCCCTTCGTCTGTGATTGGTCAACAGTAGGGATTCTTCAATAAAGTCCTTGTTGTCATTCAATGAGAGACGACTCGTTTTCATGCAAATTTCTTCAATAAAAAATACTGCATCAAACATCTTAGTTAGATGTAAAATTGCGCGACTAAGATCTCTTTGGCAAAAACGTCAAAATTAATGACAGATTTCTTGAGTTAATCCTGACTATTTTGAGGAAGTGTATACTGGCTACGGCGTCTCAAATTGGAAAAACAGTACTATTGCCACTTTTTTCTCATTTTTCAAGCAAAGGTCTTTTAAGGGAGTATCCGAGCAGAACCGAGATCGGATAGGCGTCAACCGAACTGAAGCATGCTGATGCCTTTAGTCTGTTATGATGCTCCACGCCACCCTCTCAAACACCCTCCACAATCCTACTGGCCCCATTGATTTTCTCTTCTAAGTCCCAGAGTAAATTCATCATGGAGATAAGGGCTCTTCCTTTCTCATTCCGGAGGAGAAGGAATCCTATAAGGCTGAGATTAGACAGTCCTTCCTCTCTGTAATGTAATGCGAGACTGACCCCTGGGAGATTCAGGTCCCCCCTCCAGCAGGGGATAGGTATGATCCTGGGCTTATGTGAAAGACAAAGATCGGGCAGGCTGAGAAGACTCTGGAGGGGAGTGATAGTGATCAATGGATTTAGCAGGAGGCCCAGAGAGGAGGACAGAGGCTTGTGGGAATTAGTACCTCCACAGACGCCAGACGCCTTAAACTCATGAAGGGTTTTATTCTGAGCAGGAATGTTTAAGGTATCATATCGCTGTTCACTTACAGTGCCTTTAGAAAGTATTCACACCCCTTGAGTTTTTCCACATTTTGATGTGTTACAGCCTGAATTTAAAATAGATTAAATTGAGATTTGTTGTCACTGGCCTACACACAATACCCTATAATTTCTAAAGTTGAATTATGTTTTTCAAAATGTTTACAAAAGTTGAAATGTGTTGAGTCAATTAAATATTCAACCCCTTTGTTATGGCAAGCCAAATAAATTCAGGAGTAAAAATGTGCTTAACAAGTCACATAATAAGTTGCATGGACTCACTCTGTGTGCAATAATAGTGTTTAACATGATTTTCGAATAACTACCTCATCTCTGTACCATTCATGACATTACCCTGAAGAAGGTACTGTGAAACGGTGGTGATTTACCCAATAAAGTACTGGGAGTTTATATATAGTGTGCGACTCTCATTTAATTTTTATATCTTACAGTTTATTCACCGTTATTCAGCACCTCCACACAAAATAATTTTCTCTGGGTGTGCGCCAGCTCATGCTTTTTATTAGACAATAATAGTGTTTAACATGATTTTTGAATGACTACCTTATCTCTGTACCCCACACATACAATTATCTGTAAGGTCCCTCAGTTGAGCAGTGAATTTCAAATACAGATTCAACCACAAAGACCAGGGAGGTTTTCCAATGCCTCGCAAAGAAGGGCACCTATTGGTAGATGGGTAAAAAAAAAAAGCAGACATTGAATATCCCTTTGAGCATGGTGACATTATTAATTACACTTTGGATGGTGTATCAATACACCCAGTCACTACAAATATACAGGCGTCCTTCCTAACGCAGTTGCCGGAGAGGAAGGAAACCGCTCAGAGATTTCACCATGAATCCAGTGGTGACATTAAAACAGTTACAGAGTTTAATGGCTGTGATAGGAGAAAACTGAGGATGGATCAACAACATTGTAGTGACTCCACAATACTAACGTAATGACAAAGTGAAAAGAAGGAAGCCTGTACAGAATACAAATATTCCAAAACATGCATCCTGTTTGCAATAAGTCACTAAAGTAAAACTGCAAAACATGTGGCAAAGAAATTCACTTTATGTCCTGAATACAAAGCGTTATGTCACCTTGTCCGAGAGAGATTTACATGCTTATCAAAACGTCACGCCAGGGTAAGCCTACACGAAACACAGCCCTTATTTGAAGTGTTTCTAAAATTCCCTATGGGAAAATGAATGGTGGAAAAACGATTGGAACCATTTCCCTGTTTGACCACTAGGTTTTATGGGTATTATGACACCTCCACCGTGGGGCTCTATAAATACTTTCTGAAGGCACTGTATAAGGACTTACTCTGTAGGAACTTCTGGTAAGTTCTTCCCACATTGGTGCACATTATACAGATGCAAAACATGATACAGCTTGACTTTGAAACGTCCAACAACTCAAAATGAAATAGTAGCCTTACCTCCTAGACCTCAAGTGTCTTAAAAAGAAAAACGACCATGGCAGTGATGTTACAGAGTAGCACGACACAGATACATCTTTGGGTAAGCACAAGGATTCCCTTTGGGCAACACCTATTGTCAGTCAGTGTCCTTTTCACTCATTCCAAACGTTCCCTGACTGACTGACTGACTGAAGTGACTGTCACCCCAACGTTGGCTGTCAGCTCTAAGGCCAGTGTATTGGCAGTGAAGAGCCCCACACTGTCTGAGGACTGGAGGGCTACAAATCCCTCCCCTGCAAAGAATCGATGTTTAGATCGATGTCTTGTTGCGAGTCATTCACTTATTTTACCATGGAAAGGCAGAACAGTCCAATTAAATCAGCGTGTATGGCTCAGACTGTAAAACATGCAGTATCTGTAAATTGTAGAGTCAGAGAGTATTGACTACATGACAGAGCTGACTGTTGTCATAGAGCTAGTAGCTATATTAATATTCTGATTAGAAGACTGTTAAACAAGCTCACATGCTGGCGGAGCACGGTGAGACCTCACAACCATGTTCATTAAACCAGCAGTGTGTAAGCCACACACACACACACACACACTCACACTCACACACACTCACACTCACACTCACACCCTCACTCACATTCACACTCACACACTCACACACAAACACACACACAAACAAACACACACACCAGCTTGTCTAGAATCACTGGTCCGTGACACTCTTAAAGAAAATGGACAACTTCCTCAAGGGAAATCCACACTATATTTCATCATTACAGAGGCGTCTGAGTCCTGTTCCCCTTGGAGATGGCTTCAACAAAATAGTCAATCAAACGCTGAGGTGACTGATGGTTGTCATTGACGATGCCGGCCGGCCCAGTGTCTCTAGCCACCAGTATGCCGATCTCTCTCTCTCTCGCTCTCTCTCTCACGCTCTCTCTCTCTCTTCTCAAATTGAAAATCCTTTAACAAAATAATAATAATAATAATTTATATCAGAGTAATCAAGGTGTAGATTACATCACACATGCCAGTGTTCTAACTTGTAACACAGCTGCATGATTTCTACTAATGCGACTCAGTGCATCCAATGGCAATGCCTGTAATAGTCGGCTAGTGCGGATATGATGGAATCTAGCCCTATGATTGGGAGACAACATGGGCATTATGGTCCGATTGGAACCTCCCATGCTGAGTTTGATGACAGACAGAGATAATTTCAGTGTTAATTTGAAGTGTTCTCCCATTACAGTTTGGCATTGTAGCGCTTGCCGCCACTGGCTCGCTCTGCTGCATTTCAATTTCACATTGGGCCAATCACACAATTTGGCTTATTAAAGAGCGTACCTTCTTGCAAAATTGCCTCAGAACTGGAAAATTTACAACATAAAAAAACAGGCACAGCTTATCTACTTTCTCTTTCCACCACCTCTCTTGTTCCCCCTCTCCTCTACCCCATCTCTCTCTCTTACTTTCATTCATTTCATCTTATCCCTCATTTTCTACTCATCATTTCTTTTCGTCCCCACCGCTACATCCCCGCTTTCAGACCTCGCTCTACGACGACAGAATATTAAAATTAGATTTGATGAGAGAGAACGTTATCTTGCTCCCAGTCCTTTGTCCAGTTTCTCCTCTCAGGGAGAGAGAGAGAGAGTCAGTGAGTGCTGGGGGAAAGTAAAGTGTAGACTCTCTCCCACCCAACACCTCACTTCACCCTGATACCTTCCTATCTCTCCTCACTAATATTCCCTCTAGCATCAGAAAGAAACTAGTTTGAAATTCAGGTCTTTTTGTAATCTTTTTCAGGCCAGAGTGGTGGAGGGATAGATGGAAGGAGGGAGGGATAGATGGAGGGAGGGATGTACAGGGTAGAGGAGGAAACTGGTCTAGCAGAAAGATCCTCGAGTCCTATCGCTGCAGATGGATAAACAGGGCTTCTGAAGATAAATGGGATCAATCATGTTATCTGAAGATAAATGGGATCAATCATGTTATCTAATGGATGCTCTCTACTGACTTCATCAAAAGACTACTGCTACATTTACATGTATTGGTACCATACTCAGGAGATTCAGCCATAGTCTAGTCAGGTCCATTGTGGGGGATTTCTCTCATGTCACAAAACATTACGGGTGCGTCCCAAATAGCACCCTATTCCCTATGTAGTGTGCTACTTTTGACCAGTCAAAAATAGTGCACTACATAGAGAATAGGGTGCCATCTGGGATGCAGCTTATGTAAGTGTGCTGCAGTCAGATCACTCCTTGACTTCACAGAGCTCTTTAGGAACTCCTCTACAGGGACCAGGCCTTTCTCTACAAGCAGGGCAAACAGAGAGTAAATTGAGAAACGTGGGGGTAAGCAAACAATCCCCCAGGCTCAGAGCCACCATCCACCACCACCACCACAGGGGAGAGATTGGATATAAGGCCTAGCTGGGAGGGGCCTAGGGACCACAGGGGGTTACGATTGGATGTTTGGGGGCACCACCGTCCAATCCTCTCATACCCATGTTCCTGATCACAGTGTATGTGTGGGACAGGCCCTCCTGTTGTTAGACTTTAAACAGCAGGTATTAAATAACACAGTAGAGGGAGGGAGGGAGGGAGGGAGGGAGGGAGGGAGGGAGGGAAGCATCGAGAAATAATAATTACAGAGTACCGAAAGAGATGACAGAGTGATGGAGGGAAAGGGATGAGATGAAGGGAGAGGGATGGAGGAGGAGGAGGATGGAAGGACAGGAGAGAAATGGGAGGAGAGGAGATGGATGAAAGGAAGAAAGAGGGATTAGGGGTGGAAAGTGATGGAAAGAGAGTAGATGGATGAAAGGTAGGATGAAGAAGTGTAAAGGGGGAGAGAGGGATGAGGGAAGATAAGTGAGCAAAGGGGAAAAGCAGCAAACATCAACAGAAAAAGGAGAGAAAAATGGAACTACACAGATTTAATATAGCTTTTATATATAAATAAAAAAATAAAAAAATATATATAGTGTTTCTGTTCCTCCCTTTTCTCCCTCTCGCTATCATTTAACTTACTCGTTGCCTCCATCAGGCCTGTGTCCATGAGTGCGGGGAGGGTCTCAGTGGGGAGTGTAACAGTCGCAGCACTCTTAGCCCTCTCCCTGTCCCGTTCTCGTTCCCGGTCCTTCTCTCTGCCTGTGGATGTGGCTTCCCCAAGCCGACGCTGACGAGTTTTCTGGGCCTCCAT